GCAGTGCCGCAAGGACTTAGTTACCAAGTCCCCACTGTGCACATGGGGCTGGAAGCAGCTCGTTTTATCTGACAGAGAAAGGCCCAGAGGAAAATGAAACTGATCTATTATAACAGATTGAAGCAGGCCATGGTAGCACATGCTAGGCCTCCTACCATTCCAGGAGGGGTGCCAAGTCAGAGCCCACACAGAGCAATTTATTCGCTTAATGAGACACTGTCTCAAAATAAAACATGAAAGAAGTAATGGTTGAGGGCACACCTCAGCACAAAGCTTCTGGGTTTAATATCTACGATGAAAAGGGAGGCAAGGGAGAGACTGAAATGACATCAACTAAGTTCCACATATAGAATTTATTTGGTCCTTATTTAGAGAGTTTCTAAAACTTTAAAAAAAATATAACCTAATGAGAGATTTTTGAATGCAAATGCATAATGATATTACATAAAACATTATCAGATGAGATAAAGACACAGGGTTCGACCAGGCATGGTGACACTGGCCCGTAAGCCCCATACTCTGGAGGCTGAGGAAGGAAGATTGCTAGGCGTTTGTGGCCAGCCTGCACTTCAGAGCGCGTTTAAAACCAGTCTGGAAGAAACAGTGAGAACTTGTCTCAAAAACTCAAACAACATCCTGGACAACAGAGGACAGGCAGGAGGCACCACAGTTCCTGACTTGAAATTATACTACGAAGATACTGTGATAAAATCAGTATGGTACTGGCATAAAGACATTCCTGAGGATCAATGGAACAGATTAGAAGATGTAGACACAACTACAAGCACACTCAGCCACCTTATCTTTGACAAAGAGGCAAAACGTGTTCACTGGAAGAAAGATAGCCTCTTTAATAAAAGATGCTGGAAATACTGGCTTTCCACATTCTGAAGGCTTAAAATAGACCCACGCCTATCACCAAGCACAAAACTGCAGTCAAAAAAGATCAAAGATTTAAATATTAAAACAGAAACACTAAATCTTCTGGAAGAGAAAGCAAGTAGAAATCTTAAGAACATAGGGATAAGTAGAGTTCATGAACAAAATCAAACTGCATGAGAATACTCCAAAGAATCAACAACTGGAATCTCATCTTTTTGAAAAATTTCTGCATGTCAAAAGAAATCACCAACAGAGTAAAAGTAAAACCCATGAAGGGGGAAAGAATTATAGCGCACTGACCATCAGACAAAGGACTCCTATGTAGAACATACAAAGAATTAAAAGAAAAGGTAGACCTCCAAATTTCAAAGATCCAATCCAAAAATAGGCATCTGAGATGAATATACACCTCACAAATGAAGAGATACAAATGGAAAATAAACATATGAAAAGATGTTTAACATCATTGATCATTCAAGAGATGTAAATTTATACAATGCTGAGGGCCAGCCAAATAGCTCAGCAGATTAAAGCACTTGCAAGCAGGCACAGGAGCCAGGGATTCGAGCCCCAGGCCTGCTATGCTGAGCCCTCCCCCAGGGTATGCTGAGACAGCAATTGAGACTGGGCATGGTGGTGCACGCCTATAATCCCAGCTCTTTGGAGGCTGTAAACAAGCGGATCACTACAAGTCCAATCTAGTAGTGAGACCCTGAATACCCTGTAGGCCCTTCCCTAAAATACAAAAAAAAAAAAAATGCTGAGATGCCAACTTATGCCAGAAAGAATGGTGATCATAAAGAAGTCAACCATAACAAAACAAATGCTGGAGAGGCTGTGGGGAAAAGTAACCTTCACCACTGCTGGTGGGAGTACAGGTTGGTACAACCACTATGGAAATCACTATGGAGATTCCTCAAAAATCTAGGATTAGCAATCCCATTCAAGCCAGCTATTCCCCCTGAGGTATTTTTCCAAAAGAACTGAAATCATCATACCACAGTGATATATGTGCACCCATGTGTACAGCAGCATAATTTGTCATAGCTAAATCCTGGAAATGACTGAAATGTCCATCCACTGAGGAATGGATAAAAAAGATGTGGTGTCTTTACACATTGGAATACTCTTCAGCTATAAAAAAGACAAAGTCCAGGTTTTTGTAGATCATTGAATGCAGCTAGAGACTATATTAGTAACTGAAATAAATCAGACCCACGTACGCAAACACTGTGTTGCTTCACTAGTGTGAGAACCTGGAAGAGTAATTAAAATCTAAAAGGTACAACAGACACCGTGCAAGGGAAAGAAACTGTTGAGTGGGAAGAAAAAAGTGGTATTAGAAAAGGACAAATGAAGGGAGGGAAAAATATTTAGTTATATATGCAGAATAATTTGGATAATTACATTATTGATTTTCGCTGGTTTTTTGAATGGCGCAGTTAATGCTTAAAATTTTTTTAACTCTGATTTTCTTTTCCTGTTTTGAATTTCTTACAAATTCTTTGTTATGGTTTTGTTTTTCTTTACATGAGTCACATTTATATCTGGTAATCTCAACAACCAATTTGAAGATGGTATCATGTAATACAGTAATCACTGTTGGATTCCTATTACTTTGTTTACTGAGATTTTGTATTGTTTTTAATCACTATATTTTGAATTCTTTTTTTAAAAAAAGCCTCAAACAATAAAGGGTTTATTTTTTAAAGATTACGGACATAGCGAGAGGTGAAATCCGTAGACGAGGAGATGCCAGCAGTTCTAGGCTCAGCTGAGCCGTGACTCCACAGAGCAGGCATGCAGTGCCCAATAAGGACGGCTCTGAGCCCACAGCAGAGCGCTGACCAGCCTGGGAGGAGGGAAGGGCTGACTCTGCGCCTCGCAGCAAGCAGGAGGTAATGGGAAGAGCTCACGCACGTGAAACAGCCAGGCACAGGGTGGCGAGCGCCCCACACTCACACTGTGAAGCAGATGGGCAAAGAAAAACCCACTGCATGGGTGCAGTGGACTAGTGACCTGCGGAGGCTGCAGATGGGCAGGCGGCTGGCAGCTGCATGGGGGGGACACCGGGACACTAGTTCAGGAGTCCTTCAATGCCCTGCAGCACAGTGTGGTGCCTGCAGTTTGCAGCAGTCTACAAGCCTTATGAAGCACTAGAGGAGCCCTTAGTGTCTTCCTTCTTCCCTCCCTCCCTCCCTCCCTCCCTCTCTTCCTTCTTTCCTTCCTCCCTTCTTTCCCTCCATCTTATTTCAGTGGCTACTCCCTTCACTTCCTCAGGACAATATTCTCTTTACTTGAGGGACACAGACTAAACACTTTTGCAATTGAATAGTCAGGTTGGTTCATAGAGAAGAGAGGGCGCCCTGGGTCTCCCTGTCCACCTGGCTCTGCCCAAAAAGAAATTTACTTTGGCGAAGGCTCATCTGCCTAGGCCACAGACGCAGTCACACAATGCTCCCTCCTGCCCAGAGCTCCCTCCTGAGTCATCCCGGTGACATGGGACAGGGCTGGTCACCATTCAGGAATGCAGGTCCCTGTGCCTCCTTGTGGTGGGCTTGCCATGGCAGCCCCCACCATGTGGGACAGCCCGTGTCTGGGCACCCCCTCTTCCTCTCCCTGCAGCCTCTCCCCTAGAGGCTGGCTGACTCAGCCCTGACCAGCTCTCCCTCTCCCTCCCAGCTCACAGGGCCCAGCCTGAGGGGGCGGCCGTGTGTCTCGGGGAGGCCACCTCAGCTGGGTTGTCTGTGTCCCCAACGTCAGTCACCTGGTAGCTCTGGAAGAGCACTGGGGTATCTGGTGCATGACTAGAGGGAAGTTCTGTGACTAAAGAAGGGCTTTAGTTCTGACCTTGAGGACTGACCCACAAGGAGAATGAGCTGCCCTCAGCTCCCAAAGCCAGAGTCCTTCTCTCTCAGCTGGAATTTAGAGAACTCTGCACTGGCCAGCTGTGAGCGACACCTGCCCCACACACAAAATAGCCCACTTCAGGAGCCGTGAGGAGGAGTTATTAAAATAATCATGAATGATTTCCTCAGTGTTTGGACTGAAAACATGAACAGATGGCCAACTTAACACCTAAATGATCGATGCTTCACTTGGTGAACAGCTTTTACTTCTGTTTCCTCTTGTGGGTCAGGCAATCCACAGCCCCTTAAAGTCAAACCACCTTGTATTCAGCAACCAGACCCATATTTGTTGAGGGCTTTTGTGTGTGTAAAACGCTGTGCAGTGCCAAGGGGATTCGGAAGGCACAGTAGTAACACCGAGGGTGCTGCGGATTAAGCTCCGCCTTCATGGTGCTCTGTTCTGTCACTTTAATGATTCTTACAATTTGCTATGATGAACCTATTTCAAGATCGGTTTGTCACTTCATAGAATCTTGTCATCTGGTGGCACTGTAGGAAGTTTGTTCCATTGCTTACAGAGAAGCTGAAGAAATAATACCATGCCCCGCCCTGCACCGGCACCTCGGTCCTTTGGATGCGGAAACTATGAGCCACAAAGGTGCGTTGTCCCCAACACCCAGCCAGGAGTCCCCAGCTGCCTCCTGTCTACACAGTCAGGAAGATACTGTAATCTGAGGTCCACACCCCAGCTGCAGGCATGGGATGGACCCTCTTTCTCTCTCCTTGGTGTGTGCATGGAGAAAGGATATTATGGTTTGTGTCCAGATGTCCCCGCAAAGCCTCAGGGGGTCATAGGTGGGACTTTTCCCAGGTGACTGGGCCTCAGGTGTGTGGTTACTAAATTATCACACTGGCTGGTTTGATATGGTCTGGGTGTGGACAATGGGCAGCCCGCCCTGGGTGTGAGTGTGCCCTCCCTGAGCTGCGCAGCCTGGGTAGAGTACAAGGGACGGAAAGGGAACTGTAGCTGCCACCCGCTTGCTGCTTTCTCCATATCCAGCTGCCTCGCTGCCTTCCTGCCTTCTGCCTGCCATGAACTGTTTCTGCTCCACGATGCCCCTCTGCATGCTCTTTCCACCCTGCCTTGCAGCCAGCCAGCTGCAAACTAGAACTTCCACAAACCGTGAGCTGCCTTAAATCTTTCCTCCTCTAACTCCGGGCATTGGGCATTTTGTCTCAGCAAGGAGAGAAGGAACTGAAACACAGGGCTGAGAGGACACACTTAATTTATAGCTTGGAAGCCTGTGTCTTTCCCAAGTATCAGAAAATACTACCTTGCCTCCACACACACACAACAGCCATCTCGGAACCGTTCTTCACAGAGTCCCCAACACACACCTGTTCGTCATAGAAGGGAAAAATCAAAGCAGATGCTGCTTAAGCCCCTTTTCTTTTCCAGGGTCCTCTGTTGGGAAATTCTACCAGGGTGCTGTTCTGCAATCTCTCCAGCTGCGGCCTTTCATCTGTGGAAGACAGGGGACATCTCAGCAGGCAAAGCCATAAATACCTCCCAAATCCTCCATGATAACTCTGCACTGAGGAATGCCCCGCTGCTCTGTGCAAAGGGAAAGGGCGGAGGCGTTCGGTGCCGGTAGCCTCGGAATTCCAGTCCCCCGGCCCTGGGGCCTCAGAGACTGCAGGAAGAGCAGCCCGGATTATCCCCTCACCTGGGGCTTTAGCGCCGACTTTTCCCGATGGGCCCCGCGCTGCACTTAGGCAGAACGCAAAGCAGATGAGTCTGTCCAAGGTTCAGCTGCAGAAGTGCTTCTCAGGCAAACCGCAGGATGCTTTCATAGACCACAGCCTGCAAGAAAGAAGCGAGTCCAGTAAACAAAAAGTTAAAATGAAGCCTTTCAGCTCTGTGCATGAATTTGAAACAACTTCATCCCTGACTCATGTCCTAGTTTATTTTTGATCTTGGGAAACCCTGTCCCTATACTGTGATTTCTTTTTTAATAGCAAGTTTCCATTTGTAGCCATTAGTTAGTCTTTCCACAAAACTGAGCTTCTGGAAAGGATTGAGGAGGGACAGAATATTCCTGGGCCAGCAGGGACCGCGGGGAAGGCTTCGGCCGGGAAGACTTCCTGCTGGTTTACTCAGTCCAGTAGGAACTAGATTACTCTGTGTGTTTCTCTTGTTCTCTCTCACGCATGTTATTCAAGTGGAAAAAATAAACAAACAAGTAGACTGCTGCCCTAAGGGAAAAGTGTGAAAACAAAAATTATTTTGCTGGGAACTACACTTATCTTCACCTGCTGTAGGACACAGCTTTAACGTGCTTGGTTTTTGTTTGTATCACTTTTTTTTTTTCAGAAAAAGATAACCCTTCATGACCTGGCAAGGCGGGATATGACATGAACAATAAAATAACCAGAAACTGGAGAACGAGACATCGACCCTTACCTCAGTTCTGCCGCTTCCACGGCCCTCTTGGGCATGCCACGCAGCAGCTACCCAGAGGAGGAAGCAGGTGAAGCTGGAAGACCAACAAAGGTCCCTGGCAGCCTCAGCGCCAGCATCAAAGAAGCCGCGAGCATCTGCTGGGTTATGCTGAGGTCCCAGGGAGCCATCTGTGCAGGAAACCAAGCTCCTCCACCAGGTCACCTCCAGCAGCCAAGTCCCCTTTTCCTGTCCTGCCACAGAATGGATGGATGACATGCACTTCTCTATGACCTTGGAATTACCACAGAGCGCCCGGCTCTGATGGAGGGCTTGGGTCCTCTCAGTGAGGACCGTGTTGCTGGCACGACTCCGTCCTCTTTTAACAAAGGACTTTGTCCCTGGCCAGGAACCCCGTGCTTTGATCCTGGGTTCTGGGTCTCTCAGGTGCTAGGTGGAGTGCTTTCCTGCGCTGGCCCTTAAAGTCCTACCACCGAGGCCACGGAGGAAAATGTGGCCACCCAGCCTCCTGGAGGCAGAATCCCCCAGGCTGACTCTGCCACAGAGCTGATTCAGCGGCTGCTCAGACTGTCACCAGAGGTGACTGGCTGCAGCGCGAGTCACAGGAAACCTTTTGGCCTCTGCTCAGTTATTTATAGAAGAGTTTATAGGATTCTTCCACAACTCAAGGGAGGAAAATCAAACAAATGTCACCTCCTATTATCGTGGCAACTAAGTTCCACTCTGGAAATAGAAGTTGGAACTGTCACCCATTAACTAGCAAGCCAGCCCCTGGGTGTATTTCTATTTTAGCAACACTTTTATACTTTAAAAAAAAATCCTTCCAATTTTAACTCCCCCCTGGAATCATTCCTGATTAGGTCCATCTCATGTGTAGTCCTTTATACCTCTTTGCTTTGGACTAATGCTTTAATAATGGATTTCCAGGGTATAGAATTGAATTACTCATAATTCTCTTTCCATACCCCACCCCTCTTACACTAATGCAAAGCTACCGTGTGCCAGGCATTGTTCTCGGAATGTGAATCTTTAGAACAACTCTAAGGCATACGTTCTGTTCTTAATCCCATTTAACAAATCAAAGGACTTGATTTATGACATGCTTTCATGGCCACTGCATGACTTTATTTCATATTTGTCTCATTTTCTTCATTGGCTTATTACTTTGCAAGCAATAAAAACCCACGACCCCACCTGGGAACTAGAGCACAGCCAATGCCTACATCTAACGGTGCAGTCTTCCCTGCCTCGAGACACACACTGCTCACCAGACACACAGAATTTCATGTTCATGGTTTTTTTTTTTTTCTTGCTGGTTTTTAAAGTCACATCAGAACAGCTGAGCATGATGGTATACACCTGTCATCCCAGCACTGGGGAGGCTGAGGTAGGAGGATGGCCACAAGCTTAAGGACAGCCGGAACGACGTATCAGGAGCTTGTCTTGAAAAAAACAAAACAAAAAGTTTTCAGAATATATATATAATA